TGTGTGTGCGCGTTGTGTGTGTGTTGTGTGTGTGAGTGTGTGTGCGTGTGCGCATTGTGTGCATGTGTGTTGTGAGTGTGGTGTATGTATGAGTGATGTGTGTGTGTGAGTGTATGTTGTGTACGTGTGTGCGCGCGTTTGTGTGATCATATGTAAGTACCTATGTTTTTGTATGTTTGTTTGTTCATTTGTGAGTGTGCGAACAACAAAAATAGTTACAAAATAAGAAAAGAAACCACTGGGTGACACTACAACAAAGACATCGGCTAGCAAACAGATTCCAGTGCAGAAATACTGAAGAAATGTGCCAGGAAAAAAAACATCATGAGAAAAAGATGAATAAAACGAAGAAGAAGAAGAAGAAGAAAAAGAAAAAGAAAAAAAACAGAACCCAAAAGAAACGAAAAAATGTGAAGAAAAAAAAAATCTGCTTCTAGAATACTTTTACCGTACTTTCTTACGAGGTCTGGGTACACCAGCCGTAGAGACCGCCTGAGGAGATTTTCTTATGACATTCAGAGGGGGCGGGTTGGAGAAGCAACGCACACACATGACAACGCATACACATGTCATAATAAACATCATGGAGTTGGGGGAGACAAAAATGCGACATATTCAGCGTGAAACAGTGACATCTCAAACACACACAGGTGGAAGGGATTAAACTGTTGTTGATGTTAATCCAGGAGGTCAAAGCACTCAATTCTTGGCTATACGTAATTTTTTTTCGGTGACTTCTCTCGTTTTATTTCAATACTATTAACAAGTAGCGTACTATGCAGTTACGCCTTTTTTTCCTACTGAACAGTACATTGCCTAAACATTTCCTGTTCATTCTTTCCTTTTAAAATAGACTTATCTCCAATCTGAGATAATTTTAAGATTTTAAATCATTTAGGGGTTTTTTTCCAATTATTATTTGCTTCTAAACACTTGTAATTTCTCGTTCAATGATTGCCTAAACCCAACTCAGTAATACTCAATACAACCAGTCCATTTGATAGTCAGGGCTGGCCGGGATCTGCCTAAATAGAAGGGAAAAAGCTGCCATTTTGGTACAGGTTGAACAAATCCTTGAGAATCAAATATATGATTGCTTACATAGGTCACGGATATATTACGTCCTCTACGTGTTAAAATAGAGGAAACGATCCAATATTTGTCCGGTACAAAAATGTAGTTTAAAGTAGCTGAGAATATTCAGGCTCGCTACAGTGAGCAAGATTTGAAATGGTTATATTTTAACAAATTTTATCAAGGCCTCTGAACTGCTGATCAAGCTGTTAGGACACTTTGGAGACCTTCAGTTAACTCTTTGACCACACAATTTAAAATCACGTTTCCGCTGAATTCTCTCGTGTTCGTGGTTCGAAATGCGTCCCGACATATTAAGTTTTTAAAACCTGCTTGTTTCGAGTCAAACTGATCAATAAAGCATTACACAGACGTAGAATTCATTTATCTTTGACTTCCGGGTCAAACTAAAGGCTCGTTAGCTCATACTTTTTTATATTCGGCCCGTACCATAATACAATAATAACTTCGCATCGGACGGTGGTACCATCCAACCATGGTCACGGAGCTCGACTACCGGACGCTGCCACTGCCCAGACACGGTTAAAGAGTTAAAATGAAAACTGGCACGAAAGGGAATCAAACTCTTGCCACTGGTGTGCGATATCAAGGACTCTTATATAATTTATACCACAGACACGAGTGCGAGGATGTTAAAAGTTAGTGTACGGTTGTGCGTTACCTTCAGGGGTCCCACCACCATGTAAATAGGGTACAAGAGTGTGTGTGTGTGTGTGTGTGTGTGTGTGTGTGTGTGCATGTGTGTGCGTGTGTGTGTGTGTGTGTGTGGACGCACCTTGATTGATCCGAAGGAAGCACTGGACAAATTTCTGACATGAGTCGCGGAGAGATCGTCATCAGCTTCATCGCCCTTGGCCGAATCTCTCTGCCGCCGCACGGGGGAACAAGGGGGAGAGGAGGAGGTGGACAGGGGGTGAGAGGTCACAACACAGGGTTCAGAGGTCAAACGAGAAGCACCAGATTGGGGTTCAACAGGGGTCACAACGTTTAAGGCTGGGGGTGGGGGGTGAGGGGTGACAACATTGACAGCTGCGGGGCCAGCGTGCGGGGGGTCGCCATGCACTTGGGGGTCAGGGGGTGAGGGGTCACGGGGTGAGGGATCAACAACTGATGTGGGGTCAACAACAGCAAGGTCATGTGATGAAAGGTCATGGGTCACACGGGGGTCAGGCAAAAGCGCATCCACAGGTCGCTGCTGCTGCTGCGGCTGCTGCTGCTGCTGCTGGAGGTCACCGGGTTCGACAACGCTCGCCGCGACACCGGACTCGAACACGTCCAGCTCGCGGTCGGCCTGCGAGATGGCCCCCTCGGCCGACTCGAGAATCATGCCCACCTGCGCGCGCTCCCGCACCAGTGCCGGGTCCGTGAACGAGGAAGAGGAAGTGGCCCGCGGCGAGTCCTCGCCCTCGCTGGCGATGCTGATCCTCCCGGCAGACGTCAGGTACACCTCTCTGCCGTCCGCCGAACCACCGGCCGAACCTCCACCACCAACACTCCCACCTTCTGCCGTCGGCTTCGATGACGACGATGAAAAAGATGATGATGAAGAAGTGAGTGGATGCTTCGAGGCGAGGTAAGAAGACGAAGTGGCCGCTTCTTCCGCCGCTTCCAGTTTCGGGGTCATCGGAGGGGTCGAGGACACAGAGTCCTGGGAGGCGATCGGGGGAGGCGGCGATTTGAGGGCGGCCCGCTGCACGTGGTAGTCCCCTACCTCGTCGTCAAAGTCTTCGGAGAAGCTCACTTTGATCTTTCTCTTCTGCCGGTTTCCTGGTACGGGGCTCGACAAAGTGTCCTCACCCACGACCTCTTGACCTTGAGATCCCGCCTCGTTCGCTGCACCTTGAAAGATATCATCCTCCGCAGTCCCTTCTTCATCAGAGCCTCCTCCTCCTTTTCTTCCACCACTCATCTCTTTCCCAAGATCTCCAGCATTTTCCAGGGCTTCTTCAATAAATCCTGTGACCGGCTGATGCTTATTAAACTCTTGCCCACTGATCTTCCGGAAGCTTTCGCCTTCCACCACCTCTCGGTCTACATCCGTCATTTTCGAGATGGAGGCGTCATTGCCGATGATGTCCAGGTTTCCTTGAAGAGGGTCCATATTAGGCAGGTATTGGGTCTCCAGCCCGTCGGGCGCTTCTGTTGGCTCGTTGTCTTGCGGGTCGTCGATTCGGGAAGATCTGCGGGAGCCGTCGTCCCGTGAAAAACGCCGGGCTGGAAAATCTTCCGACTTGGAGAATTTCCGTCCGGGGAACGAGCGAATGATTTCTTCTTCCTCCTCCTCCTCTCCCAGGTTGAGTTCCGAGGAGATGCGTCGCTCTGGGAAAGAGGTTTTCACCTCACCCTCCCTAATCGTCATGGCCGACTCCGTGTCTTTCGACCGCTTTCTCTCTGACGAACTCGTGGACGTATCCGAAGACGCGGACAATTTTCTATCTTTCGCCGAAGCCGATTCGCTTCCAACATCTTCAGGCTTAAAACCCCAGCCAGTCGACTCGACGGACGAACCGGGCTGACTTCCCTGCCCGGAATCGATATAGTTGTCGTTGTCGTCGACCCCACCCATGGCCCCCCTCTCGAGAGCCACTGTGTTGTCGAACCCAATTTTCCGCGTCGCTTGCGTCGTCTCGTCTTCTTTCCCGGCCTCGATTCCATTCTCCCGAGGGGACGTGGCATTGGCGACCTCCTCCGCAGCGTCCTGCGAGAAAGGGTAGTCGTCCAGCACGCTCTGAATCAGCTCGTTGGCCAGTTCAAACGCCAGCTCGTTCAAGGCCGCGTCGGACATAGTCTCTTCCGTCGACACCGCGTTCATGGTGGGCAGCTCTTCTTTGTTGTCCTCGTTTTGAGCCGGTGTGTCGTTCTTCGCATCCTTCTTGGAGGGAGGCTCGGCAATAGTGTTCACTCCATCCTGCACAGAAGACTCCTCCTCCTCCTCCTCCTCCTCTAACGAGTCAGATGGAGGCAGAACGGGTAAACCAACACCAACGCCACTACCACCAGCAGACTCATCCTCCTCTCCCTCATCCTCCTCTCCCTCATCCTCTCTCCGATTCACCGCAACAGCCGCCGCAATACTATTAGCAACAATGCCCTCGGCCGTCTCAAAAAGAACCCTGTCCTCGTAGCTCGTCAGCTTATCCGCATCCACAGGGGAAAAGAGTTCCTTCCCCGCGGCTTCCAGCGCGTCTCTCGACGTAGATCCGCCCGACCTTACCGCTCCTTCGCCCTCGCCATTATTCAAGCCGTTCACCAAAGACGCGTTGTTCTCCAAAGCCAAAGCCGACGGGGCTCCCCCGGAGTCCATCTGACTCACGCCGCCGGCAGGGGCGTCAACTCTTGTCGGAGTAAACACCTCCGAGTCGTTGGTGTCCTTCCGGCTGAGCAGGCCGCCAGTGGTGGAGGCGGCCCCCGACACATCGGCCTTGATGGCCCCCGCGAGGCCGCTGGCCACCACGTTTTCGCTGGGCGTGCCTACGTCCGTGCTGACACTGACCAGCGAGTCCACGTCCGACATGGTGTTCTGCGAGTCCGACTGACTGCTGGAGTGGCGGCCCTTGCTCACTGCCGTCGCCGTGCGGTTCTGGTTCAGGTTGAAGGTCTCCTCATCACGGCTCCCCCCTCCTCCTCCTCCTCCTGCGCCGCCACCACCACCACCGTTGTTGTTGCTATGGCGATGACTCACGTTCTCCACCGACAGTCTTTCGGCGACTTCGTTGAGGTCTGGTAGTTTATGACGACCGTCCAGCATGTTCAGCCCGTCGCGGTAGCTGTTCTGCGGCGTGTAGGGAGCCTGAGGGCTGTCCAAACTGGCGCCTCGCGAGCTCTTCCCGCTGGGTCCGATGAGAATCTCCGGGCTGCGGCAACCTCCGCTATCATCGCTGCCCTGACTGCTGCGGCTGACTCGGCTGGAGCTGCCACTGCCGCTGCCAAACATGGCCGACTGCTTGGCCTTGATGCGCGCCACCATCTCGGCGCTGTTCATACTGGGCAGGTTGGAGCGGGCGAAGCTGTCGAAGCTCCCGCCTACGTAGCTGTTCTGTGGCGTGTAGGGCACGTTATCCCCGCTGCTGCTGCTCAGAACGATCGGCTGCGAGCTGTCGGAGAACGTCCTCGAGGGTTTGATCTCCAGCCCCTCAACACTCCCGCCGAGCCCGCCCGCGTCCAGCCCACCGGCCGTCCCGTCCAGAGAGTCCACGGTGGCCCAGTCGTCGAAGTGCGACCGCTTCTCGTTGACCCGCTCCATGATGTCGGCGTTGGTCAGTTTGGGCAGTTGGTAGCCGGCCGACGACAGCAAGTCGAACCCTCCTCCCCCGCTGCCCCCCATCCCGCCTCCGCCTCCTCCACTTCCTGTGAGGTCCACGCGGCTGTTCTGAGGTACGGCAGGGGAGATAAGCGAGCCGGCGCCCCCGCTGCTGCTGCCCCCTAGCAGGCCCCCGCTCCCGTCGGCCGAATCGTCTTCCTCGAACATGAAGGCGAAGTTATCGCTCTTGCTTTTGGTCACGTGACCAGAGAGCAGCGCCTTCTTCTCCTTGATTCTCTTCACCATCTCCGAGCTGTTGAAACTGGGCAGCTGCGTCTCCTTAAAGAACATGGCGCCCGAGGGTTCCATATAGCTGTTGGGAGGCGTATCCGGATAACTGGGTACCTTCGACCCCTGACCCGAAGCCTGACCGGAAGCGTGACCCGACGCGGGTGCGGATGAGTAATCCATGGGGCTATCCACGTTCGGGCACAGAAGGTCGGATGGCATGTGGTTTTGAAGGACGTCGTCGACCTCCGACATCAAACCCATCTCGGTGCCGCTGTCGTCATTGACTAGGTCAAACTTCTCGGAAGCTTCCTCGCCCTCCTCCTTCCTGTCCAGCCCGCTTGTGGGCGGAGCGCCGGCCTCGGTGAAGCTGGGCTCGTCGTCGTTGACCGCCATGAGGTCGGAGCTGGAAGCCAGGTTCACCTCCATCGACTGGCTGTCGGCCGAGTCGAAATCGATGAGGTTGTCCACGAAGAACCCCGCGTCCAACATTGTTCCGGCGTCGTTCGACAGTCGACTGACTGTCGTCGCTCCGTCCCCCTGTCCGTTATCTCCGCTTCCCACGCTGACTAAAATATCTCCTCCCGCGTCTAAATTTAGGTCGTCCATCGCTGCGCCGGCGCTCTTTCCGCCCCGGAGCGCCTCCTTTTCCTCAGCGTCATAACTCCCCGCGTCACGAGACAACTTCTTCGAGGCATCCATCTCGCTGTCGCTGCTCAGACTAGGGGAGATAAGCGCGTCCATACCGACCGCGGCCAGATCGTAACGATCCTGAGAACAGCGAAACGAATCCGACTGGTGGGTCTTGGCCAAGTTGATATGGGCCCTAGCGTCTTCCTCGCTCCTCGCGTCGCCCGGCGACGACGCAACACCCGCGTTGAACGGAGAGTTCTCTCCATCTTCGATATCGTTTGCGTTCAGATTCTCGTCGGGGGTCACCGCCTCTCCGGCGAGAAAGTCTCGGATCAGGGGCAGGACGCCTTTCCGGTACACCTGGGTGTTCTTCTGCACAAAGACACTTATGTCTTCTAGATCGTCGGCACTTGGGCGGGTGAACAGTTCAAGGTCGAGGTGAGGGGAAGTAGATCTGAGCAGTACATCCGTGATCTGTGAGGGGGGGGGGGGGGGGAGAAAAAGAAAAAAACAAGAATCTTGAAGCAATTACGATACAATAAGGGCTTTAAAAAACAAAAGTTTTAGTTAAAGTTCAACGACACTTGCAACACTATATGTTACAGGAGAGTAACAAACACAAAAAAGAAGGAGGAGAGAAAAGGAGAAGCAAACCTTATCAGAGCACCTGCCAACCATCCGCTGAGTTTGAGTATGATGAGTTAAGTTGGAGTTTGTTTTATATATGTTTTGGTAAGAATATTACAGCACTTGCAATACAATAAAGGATTTTTTTCATAAAAGTTTTAGTTAAAGTTCCACGACACTTGCAACACTATATTATGGTCATATCAGTGCCGAAGGTTACAGGATAGTGACAAACACAAAAAAGAAGGAGGAGAGAAAAGAAGGATCAAACCTCATCAGAGCACCTGCCAACCACCCGATGAGTTTGAGTTTGAGTAAACAGAAATACATCCACATAATAGTAAAAGTAGTCAGTGTTTTACAGCGCTTGCAACTGCATACGGTCACATAAGAGCGCGTGGGACAAAACCAAACATTTTCAGTTTGTAGAAAATTTTGAATTTTGTGCGGGTGGCAGCCGAAGCCTACTCCTATCAATTTTGGACCACCAAATTTTTCGCCCTTGTCGGAGACGGCTAGGTGTAGATCTTTCCTACCAGAAGATCAGGGGTGTGGCAGAAAGACAGCAGTAAGGAGGAGCCAAGGAGAAGCAGTAGAAAGGCTGCAGAAAGAGTCAGGAGCCCAGAGGAGGGGGCAAAAGAGGTGAGGGGGTGGGGGCAGAAAGTGGAGACGAAAGCAGACGACAGAACCTTGTTAGAGGGCAGGAAACGATGAGAAAGGAGAAAAAGACATTTTCCGTCGCTATTCGGATTCGAACGCGGGGCCCTATTGAATGAGAGGCGAACACATTAACCTCTAGGCTACGAGAGCCCCCGTGTGTGAGGGTGGCCTGGTCTTTCATGACTTTCAAGAAGAGAGAATAACAGCTTTCACTTCAACCGATCCCTCTAGGAAACAGCTCCGACAATCCTCACAACGTGGTGTGCTTTGTAGGCAACAACTCTATTGAATGAGAGTTAAGTTTTAGTAAGAGTTTTACGGCATTTGCAACACAATAAGGTCATATAAGAGCCGAAGATTAAAGGTGTTACAAGAGAGTAACAAACACAAAAAAGAAGGAGGGGAGATAAAGACGATAGACATTTGATAGGAAAGAAGAAGCACACCGCACCAGAGCACCCGCCAACCACCCACATTGAATGAGAGGCGAACACCTTAACCTCTATTAAGCCACGAAAGCTCCCAAGCAAATTCTACATCCCGACCGAATCAAACGGTCGCTTTTAAGGACAAGCGGGCTAACCTACATTTCGGAGGTTTCCAGAAATCTTGACCTGCACAAAAAATGGGCATTGCCCTACCCATAGGAGAAGTTTGGTTTCATTGGTTTGTTTGGTTATAGAGAAAACTCTCCTTGTCTTTTAATGAAACTGAACAAGGGGCAAAAACTTTACCTTCGATTATCTCATTGCCCTATCTATAGGAGAAGTTTGGTTTCATTGGTGTGTATATTTCCTTGGCTATAGAGAAAACTCTCCTTATCTTTTAAAGAAACTGAACATGGGGCAAAAACTTTACCTTCGATTTTCTCAAAACAACATTTTTCGGGATAGCCCCCTTGTGCTTCAAAACAACCAATTACGATTTATAAAAAGGAGGCAGTCATCAATCTTGCACGTTTGGGTCACCCTGGCCTGAGAGGGATACAACAGCCCATCAGAAAGAGAGAGATAGAGAGAGAGAGATAGAGAGAGAGAGGGAGAGAGAGAGAGAGAGAGAGAGAGAGAGAGAGGGAGAGAGAGAGAGAGAGAGAGAGAGAGAGAGAGAGAGAGAGAGAGAGAGAGAAGGAGGGAGGGAGGGAGGGAGCGAGAGCGAGAGCGAGAGAGAGAAAGAGAGAGAGAGAGAAAGAGATACTCAATTAATTAAAAGTCTCCCCCTCTTGGGAACAGAACTGGGCCTAATCACAATACACTGTGAGTGTTCTCAGGTCTTTCTGGGCAACAATAGTTGTAACGAGCATAGAGCACGCAGAAGAACGTGGTTATGGGCTATATAGAAATGCAAGTATTATTATTACTATTATAATTATTAATATAATTATTATAAATATTATCATTATCATATCTTAATAATTATTATTATCATTACTATATTATTATTATTATTATTATTATTATTATTATTATTATTAGTAGTAGTAGTAGTAGTAGTAGTAGTAGTAGTAGTAGTAGTAGTACTAGTAGTAGTAGTAGTAGTAGTAGTAGTAGTAGTAGTAGTAGTAGTAGTAGTAGTAGTAGTAGTAGTAGTAGTAGTAGTAGCAGTAGTAGGTCCTACATTATTATACTATTATTATATCATTATTACCATTATTATTAGTTACCGGACTCGTAAACGTGAGACTGCTGGTTTGGTCGCTTTTATTATTTAAGCACAAGGGGGGTATCCCGAAAAATGCTGTTTCGAGAAAATCGAAGTTGAAATTTTTGGACCCTTGTTCAGTTTCTTTAAAAGACAAGGAGAGTTTTCTCAGTAACCAAACAAATATACACACCAAGGAAACCAAACTTCTCCTTTAGGTAGTAGGGCAATGCCCACTTTTGGTGTAGGTAAAGAATTCTGGAAATCCACGAAATCTGGGTCAGCCCGCTTGTCCTTAAAAGCGACCTTATGTCGCGTTACACACTAAATCTCATGTTACACATTACATCTCGTGTTACATACTATCTCTCACATTACATCTCGTGTTACATACTATCTCTCACATTACATCTCGTGTTACATACTATCTCTCACATTACATCTCGTGTCACATACTATCTCTCACATTACATCTCGTGTCACATACTATCTCTCACATTACATCTCGTGTCACATACTATCTCTCACATTACATCTCGTGTCACATACTATCTCTCACATTACATCTCGTGTTACATACTATCTCTCACATTACATCTCGTGTTACATACTATCTCTCACATTACATCTCGTGTCACATACTATCTCTCACATTACATCTCGTGTCACATACTATCTCTCACATTACATCTCGTGTCACATACTATCTCTCACATTACATCTCGTGTCACATACTATCTCTCACATTACATCTCGTGTTACATACTATCTCTCACATTACATCTCGTGTTACATACTATCTCTCACATTACATCTCGTGTTACATACTATCTCTCACATTACATCTCGTGTTACATACTATCTCTCACATTACATCTCGTGTTACATACTATCTCTCACATTACATCTCGTGTTACATACTATCTCTCACATTACATCTCGTGTTACATACTATCTCTCACATTACATCTCGTGTTACATACTATCTCTCACATTACATCTCGTGTTACATACTATCTCTCACATTACATCTCGTGTTACATACTATCTCTCACATTACATCTCATGTTACATACTATCTCTCACATTACATCTCGTGTTACATACTATCTCTCACATTACATCTCGTGTTACATACTATCTCTCACATTACATCTCGTGTTACATACTATCTCTCACATTACATCTCGTGTTACATACTATCTCTCACATTACATCTCGTGTTACATACTATCTCTCATGTTACATATTACATCTCTTGTAACACGCTATATCTCTCGTGTTACACATTACATCTCTTGTAACACGCTATATCTCTCGTGTTACACATTACATCTCTTGTAACACGCTATATCTCTCGTGTTACACATTACATCTCTTGTAACACGCTATATCTCTCGTGTTACACATTACATCTCTTGTAACACGCTATATCTCTCGTGTTACACATTACATCTCTTGTAACACGCTATATCTCTCGTGTTACACATTACATCTCTTGTAACACGCTATATCTCTCGTGTTACACATTACATCTCTTGTAACACGCTATATCTCTCGTGTTACACATTACATCTCTTGTAACACGCTATATCTCTCGTGTTACACATTACATCTCTTGTGACACGCTATATCTCTCGTGTTACACATTACATCTCTTGTAACACGCTATATCTCTCGTGTTACACATTACATCTCTTGTAACACGCTATATCTCTCATGTTACATATTACATCTCCTGTTACATACTATCTCTCATGTTACATATTACATCTCATGTGGCGTCCGTGGCCTAGTGGTTAGGCTCTCGGACTCGCAACCGTAAGGTCGTGGGTTCGAATCCCGTCAGGGGCCCGACGTTGTGTCCTGGGGAAAGGCACTTTGCACAAATTTTCCTCACTTCACCCAGGTGGAAATGGGTACCCGGCTGTAGACAGCGAAAGATCTTGTCAGTTTGATAGTGTTTGAGCGCGTGAAATCTGCAGCTTGCACTGTATGCTTCCGCGGAAGCGGAGAATGTTTCAGAGTGTTCTCAGAGGGTCTGCTGGGGTAATAATGGTTGTAAAGCGCATAGAGCATGCTCTGGAGCATGGATACGCACTATATAAATGCAATTATTATTATTATCATTATTATTATTATTATTATTATTATCATTATTATTATTATTATTATTTATTATCATTGTTATTATTATTATCATTGTTATTATTATTATCATTATTATTATTATTATTATTATTATTATTATCTCTCACCTGCTCTCTGTACACACGGTTCGGGGAATACACGGCAATGTGCCGCTGTTGGGGCCTGGTGATTGTCATGATGACCAGCACGTTGGCAGTCACTGACGTCAGGAAGGTCTTTGTGTCGTCAGCGAACTCTGACCTCGAAAGAACTTCCTGG